TTGAGCTCAGCAGTTGCAGCTCCCGGGTTCTAGAGCACAAGTTCAGTAGTCATGGGGCATGGGCTTAGTTGTTCTGATCCCATGTGGGATCTTCCCGGATCGGGGATCGAGCCCATGTCTCCTGCATTGACAGGTGTATTCTTTAGCCTTGAGCCACCCAGGGAAGCCCTATTTTACACTGTTAACCAATAAAAAAAGGTGGCTGGGTGCAGTAGGAGGATCACCAGTCCAGGTCAGAAGACCTGCAGACGAAACCCATCTCCTTCCATAGCTCTGTGACTTTGGGCAATGCATTTCGCCTCTGTGATGCTGAAATGCATCTGAAAATGAAGTTTCTACTCCCTCACTCTTTGTCACATCTGGCTTTTTGAAAGTTCTTCAGCTGTGATTCACAGTGTGGATATATGTCATCACTTAAAAAAAAAATAAAACCTTTTAAGGGCACGTTATGCTCATTTTTGCTGCATGAACAGAAAAATAATACTTTGCTTATTCTTTAGATGAGTAAGTTTAGACTTATTATTAACTATCTATGATGTTAAGGAGTGGTCACTCCACAGAGTGAAGGGTCAGTCTGGCCTTGTTCTCACAGCCAACCAGGTCAGGGAGAAGGGACATTTCAGAGGGAAAAACACAGGGACAATGTGTGTGTGGTCCTGGGATGACCTTCTTGTGCAAATCTAGAACAACTTGAAAAAGGAAGAAAGGAAAGGTTTGGTATGGACAATATCCTGGAAGGCAGAGAAGGATTAGGTTACTGTCATGAGTCACAGGGAGATGAGCTGGACTGGGACTCAGGTCTTCCTCAGAATCACACTAGGGTTGGGTAAGAGGTTAATCAAGCTCACCTGGACCACTGGCTTCTGTTTGACACCTCTGAAGCCTTTCCAGAATCAAGGAGAATCAGGATGTCTCCCTCATTAACCTCTTTGGACTTTATCATGGCCTATTCACCTCAGTGACTGAAGCTTTAGTGCAGGGTCACATCTTCTCTGCCCTGTGCTGCCCTGAATCATCCTGGCAGCCTCCCAACCAGCCTCCCTGACTGTGCTTCATCTTCCTCTAAACCAGTAGTGAGCAATGGTGGCTGTACATTGGAATCACCTGGGGAGCTCTAATACTCCTCCAGGAAATTATACATAAAGCTACAGTAATCAAAACAGCATGGTAACAGCATAAGGATAGACATATAGGCCAGAGGACAGCGAGGAGACCAAACAAGTCAATCCTAAAGGAAATAAACTCTGAATATTCATTGGAAGGACTGATGCTGAAGTTGATGCTCCAAAAATTTGGCCATTTGATGTGAAGAGCTGACTCATTGGAAAAGACTCTGATGCTAGGAAAGATAAAGGGAAGGAGGAAAAGGGGATGACGAAGGATGAGATGGTTGGATGGCATCATTGACTCAATGGACATGAGTTTGAGCAAATTCCAGGAGATAGTGAAGGTCAGGGAAGTCTGGTGTGCTGCAGTCCGTGGGGTCACAAAGAGTTGGACAAGACTTATCGACTAAACAACAACAACAAATAGACCAGTGGAATAGAATTGAGATTCCAGAAACATACCTATACACCTATGGCCAATGAATTTTCAACAAGGGTGCCAAGACTATGCAATGGAGAAAAACAGTCTCTTCAATGGTTGTCCAAGGATATTCATGTGCCAAAGAATGAAGTTGGACTCCTATCTCAAACCAAATACAAAAATTAACTCAAAATGAATCAATGGCCTAAAAAGAAGAGCTAAGGTCTTAAAACTCAGAAGAAAACACGGAGGTGAATCTTTATTAGTTTGGATTTGGCAACGGAGTCTTCGATTTGACACCAAAAGCACAAGCAACAAAAGGGAAAATAGATAAGTGGGTAGAGGCTCTACTGCGGTGGCAGCCAGGCCTTCTTCACCACCACCCACGCCCACCAGCCACTTGCTTCCTGCTGCGAGATCTCAGCAGGAAGATGATCTGGAGGCTTCCAGAAAGCTGCCTTCATTCATTTTCTCAGCCTGCTTTAAAGCGCTGGCTGGGCAGATAAAAACATCAAGGGACTCCTCATTCTTCTTGAGCTCCACACTGCATGCAAGGCTGGGTGGAGAACACAGGAGCAGTGCCAATGTGGGTGCCTGCCGTGGTGCGTCACTGCAGGCATGCGGGGTGCTCTTTAGCCACATGGGGACCACCATGAATGCCACGGGGTGATGATGTGAGGCCTGGGGGTGCTTCATGGATGCTTTAGGCGCCTCTCTGGGCACAACGGGGAACACTGCAGTGCTATATGGAGTCTGTGAGGACACACACTAGGTGCTTCTGGAAATGTGGAGGGCTGCCTTTGAGGGGACTGTGGGTGCTGCGGGGTGCTATGGCAAACACACTGTCTTTAGGACAGGAACCCTGGGTCTGGGTCCTAACCTTGCTGCTTTTTAGAGGTGAACCCTAGGATAATTTACCACTTTTCAGAAACCCAATTGTCCTTAAAAAGAGCTCACTAATTCCTGCCTCCCAGGATGTGGGGAGGATCCGTGATTACCTCCAGAGAGGGTCCAGGAAAGATCACTGGGAGTCAAATGTAAACCATGGAATTAAGGCTCAGGAAGAACTGTTCACACCCTACATGGCCTCACGCCCCAGGAGTGTCAGAACAGAGAGCTGACACAACCCAGGCGCTTCCTCTTGGGCCATTTTTAGATCACGTACAGAAAGAGGTATGTGTCTCCAGGGTGACCCCACTGTGCTCACAAACACCCAGCTTTCTCATGTCAAGAGCCCAAGCCTCTTCACAGAGGTCACCTCGGAAGGCCACCCACATCATTCCAGGGAGCGACCCTCTTTCAAAGCAAACAGGAGCATCGCCCTGACGATTTCCTGGCCCTTACAACCACTCAGTGGGGGTGCATACTATTTGCCCACTTAATGGATAAGAAAACTGAGATCACTCTGGGTGATCAAAGCACTCATCTGGAGTCAAACAGCTACTGAAGGGCAGAGCTGGGACTCAGCCTCCATCAGTTTGGCTATGAGACGCCAGCAAACATTTCCCACAAGAGTGCACGCCTGTCTGCCCATAGCTGATGGTCATCTTTACGTGCTCCCTGTGACCATAACATTTCTGTTTTCTGATTAACAACAGAGCCAGGCGAGATCACTGCTGTCTCAGCAGCCTTGCTGATGGTAAACCAAGATCAACGGCTCCCTTACTGTTTTCCTTTCTGTACTTCAAGAGACTCTTTCCTCTCACCCAAGGCCCAAGGCTTCCCCTGATGGAGAAACATCCCTTACAGAAAGATCCTGAGGAAGTCAAGCTATTTCTGACTCACTTCAGCGCCTTCCCCTGATTAAGAAAATCAGGCAGGAATCCAGGCTCTGATAAGGTGATTGCTTCCTGCGGGGATCAGGGCAGTCGCTGCCAGGAGGTTTACATTGAAGATTATGACCGAGGTGGCTGGTGGAGCCCGGGGAGCTGCAAGACAGATGCTATGAGGGCTCCAGAGAAGCCCCCCATCCCCGATTCCTGGCCTCACTGCTCCTCTGCGTTGTCCACTTGGGCGGCGCTTGACCTGGTCCTGCTTTATCTGCTGCTAGGACCTGGCCACCCTGCCTCGGGTTTCAACCTAAAATAACCCCAGTCAGCCAGGATGCACACTCCACCGTTGACAGGATGAGCTTGGAGACTGGTGGAATGCCAGATTAGTGACTCAGAAAGTGACCAAGTGCGTCCCAACCATGGGCGACAGAAAACCAAGACCCGCAGAGATTTTAACAAGAGCCCAAACTTTTAAAAAAAATTGTTAAAAGACAATTTCGTGTCTTTTTTAAGAAATGAAGTTCAGAGATGTGATTTGGTTTCGAGGAATTTTTAAACCTTAAGATTCAAGTCATAGAACTGGTAAGCAAAGTGCACAAGAATGGTTGGGTAGTTCAGGGAGGTGCTTCAAATTCAGCCACACAGTGCTGAGTGACCTTGAGCGAGTCACTTAACTTCTCTGAGACGGAAGGACAGGAGGGCTGTTGGTACAGAAACTGCAACTTAACCATGCACTTGGCATGGAGAAACTTCAATCAAGGTTAGTAAATCTGACTCTTCTGATTAGCTAGGACTCAAACACAGTCCCACCCGCACCTCTATGGTCTGCACCTGTGGTCTTTCCCCTGGGGGTCTGCCTCATCCTTTACTCAAGACAGGCAATCAGATCTCTCAGAGCTTTCCAATCCCCTCTCCTCTCTAGAGACTTGACCAAACCTCTGCCTCCCTGCCGTTCCCCCCACCCCGATACCACCACCCATCCCTTCCTCTAGCTCAGCCCTGGTCTTGAGACCTCAGCCGGGCACGTGTGGTTGGAACAGAGATTCAAGTCACTGCTGCCCCATTTTACAGATGAGAAAATAAGGCACAGACTGAGCACCAGAAGCCAAACATCCTGGCTCCTCATTCAGGAACCTTCGGGGAAAAAAATGAGGCGACCCGGCCTATCACCAGACCTGGAATTGTGAGCAGCCCAAGAAGCTTCCAGAACCCAGGAAGCAGACCAAAGCATTCCCAGTTCCATCGTGGAATGTGATGACTGATCCTAGTACTTGTGGATTTAAACTTTATCCAAAAAGAGTCTTGGAATGGGAACCCTCTCTGAGCCTCCAGGACCTTTGCTTTCCCCAGGAGGGCTCACTTCCTCCAGCCCTTCAACCCTCACCTCCTGGGTTGTCTCAGGACCAACCCTGACCTTCCACCCCATCAGTGGGGCAGCACCCAGTCTGGTGAGATTCCCCCTTCGGCATCAGCCTCCTCCTCCTCATCCCTCACCCCTCACCTTTGCTCCCGTCACAGAGCAAACATCTGGGGGTGAGGATAAGAGAAAAGCCGCCCTTCGCCTGCCCTGCAGCCTCCAGCACGAGCTGAGAGCCTTCTCACTCAGCCACAGAGGGTCTGGGAGCAGGGAGAGGAGAGAAGAAGACTCGACCCTTTTATTTGAATAAGTTGAGATCCGCGCCTCCAGGGCGCCAACCTTACCTTTTTCAACTGGTGTCTTCTCCTGTCTGGGGTGTCAAGATTCTCCTGAGGTCTCTTTCTGATGGTGGCTTCCGGATAAACTCTAGAAGGAGGACAGAGAGAAATACATTTTAAAAGGCTAAGGGGGCCTTCCCTGGTGGCTCACGGGTAAAGAATCCGCCTGCCAAAGCAGGAGACAGGGGTTCGATCCCTGATCTGGAAAGATCCCATGCATCACGATTGCGGCGCCCACGCGCCACAACTACTGAAGCCCATGTGCCCTAGGGCCGGTGGTCCACCACCAGACAAGCCACCGCAATGAGAAGCCCGCACACCACAGTCAGACAGGGGCCTCCACTCGCCCCAACTGGAGAAACGCCCATGCAGCAACCAGCACGGCCAAAAATAGATAAATAAGGCAAGGGATGGGGGGCATGCGGCTTCTGGGGGCCGCGTCGCCTAGGTGTCCACCCACTCCCACCTCCCATCTCTGCGGGAGGTGATACAGAAGCCAGACAGGGCCCAGAAAGACAGAAGCAAGCACCCAGCCCCACCAAGGGTCCCAGGATGGTGTCCCCAGAGCCTAGGGCCCGGGGTGTATTTTCAGTCTTCCAAAATAACCCCAGGAGCCTGTACAACAGCCCTGTGATGACGTGGAGCGGGCTGATCGCAGTACCACACTGCATCTTTGCTTCTAGCTAGAATACTATCAACTCGGTGTGGGGACTCCACTTTCCTCGGGCGAAGGAAAGGCTCTCTGAGTCATTTTGAAAATGCGAAAGAGAATTAATCACTGCTTAATGAATGCAGGCTCTGGGGCAGAGCCACACTTTCAAGATCTGGTATTCAGGCACAGATAAACAGTAAGTGGAGAGCACTGGTGATGAGAAAAACAACTCAGCTCCAGAGCCCAGGACCCAGAAGTCCAGCCTCTCCCCGCAACCCCCCACCTCCTCTCTGTCAGTTTGACGAAGAGTTCACGGGTCACGGGAGAAGGATCAAATTCACCACGTCCAGGCTGCATACCTGTCAGCCAAGGTTTAGGCTGGTTCCAGGGGACCAGATTGTTCACATGCCCAGCTGAGCAAAAGACACAGCTACAGCTGAGCAGAAACAGGGAGGGCCGGGGGCCCCCATCCCTGCCTTCCAATGACCCGGCCGCACAGAAGCCCCGATTAAATTTCATGTTGCCTCAAATAATAATGACAATGATCCCAACACCCTCAACAATCTCATGAGAAAGCATGGCCCCGTTAGGAATGAGGACCACAATGAATTCCGAGGCGTTAACTTGCCCACACGGCATACTGCTGAAAAGGGAGAGACCCGGGATGACACTCAGGGAAGTCAAGCCCTTGAAACTGCCCTCTCCATGGTGGGGGAGGCCTAGTTCAAGGAGAGCAATGAGTTCAAGGTCTTGCCCTGTATATCCCAGCACCAGCACACCTGATGCCTAAAAGAAATTATCAGAGCTCCTTGCTAACTGATGGGGAACAAGGCTTGGCCAGAGGACATGACCTCATTTTATTTGGCTATCTCTGCCTCAGACATCCACCCAGATGGTGTCAGTCCAGTGGGCCAGACTAAAGCTACAGTCAGAGGAATTCATGATACATGTACATGTACAGATACACCTACAGCCATATCCATCTCCATATACATCCATACACATATGAATATGGATATGGATGTATATGTATATAATTTTCATTTTTAACTACAAAAGTGCAAGTTTTTCCATACTCGTTTATCCTGTTTAGCAGATAGACTCACTGTGTAATCTCTGTAATATGACCTTCCAGGCTATAGTCCATGTGATCACATATGTGTGTGCGTGCATGCTAAGTCGTTTCAGTCATGTCTGACTCTTTGTGATCCCACGGACCGTAGCCCACCAGGCTCCTCTGTCCATGGGATTCTCCAGGCAAGAATATTGGAGTAGGTTGCCATACCCTCATCCAGGGGACCTTCCCCACCCAGGGATCGAACCTGCGCCTCTTACGTCTCCTGCACTGGCAGGCAGGTTCTTTACCGCTAGCGCCATATTTGTGTACATGTGTGTATTAGCATGTACCCACGGGGGCCCACTTGCCGACAGTGCAACCTTTTATACCATGGGGTCTTACGCGTGTTATACAAGCCCAGCTCTCCGAGAGACCAGGTCTACCCCTGCAAGTGAGCACACAGCCGTCCTCTGGAGTCTTCTTCACAGCCGCACAGCATCCATGGCAGGTGTGGACCACAGTCCCTCACCTCGCCCACCATGCACATGTGCGCGTTTCCATTTCTGGCTGTGACCACCTTGTGGCCATGGCCCCCTTGGTGCACGCATTTCTGTGTGGACGTTTTCAAGCACTTCCAAAGCCTGGATGCCTCGAAGTTGGACGGCCAGGCAGAGGCTCTGCAAACATCATATTTGACAAACTGCCTTCTCCCTATTATTGTTGTTATTTAGGCAGTTAGTTGTGTCTGACTCTTTTGCGACTCCATGGACTGTAGCCCGCCAGAATCCTCTGTCCATGGGATTTCCCAGGCAAGGGTACTGGAGTGGGGCCATTTCCTTCTTCAGGGGATCTTCCCAACCCAGGGACCAAACCCAAGTCTCCTGAATTGACAGGCGGATTCTTTAGTGCTGAGGCACCAGGAAAGCCCCCAAACACTGGATTAACTCCTCTCAAATAGCAGGGCAGCAACCCCTTTGCTTGAATGCAAATCTGAACTCAGAGTTTAGCCTGCAGAGTTGCTTTTCTGCTCACCTCCCACTGGCCTGGCGGGTCGTGTTCCCTAGATGAGGAAGGAGTTTATTTCTTGGCTTATGTAGCTGTCCACTGTTTCACTTCCCTGGAGCATCTTCGTGTTCCTCGTCCACCTGAGCCCTGGAACTACATTTACAGGCTCAGAACTGATAATGAGTTTTATGAGCTCTAGGGACCGTGAGGAACACATATTAATGTCAAGTGTGCCCATCAGCCACGCAGCCTGGGTGAATGTCACACATTAACAAAATTAAAGGCTGCAGCCACGCTGGGAAGGAGCCGCGGGCTGCGTGTCAAGAGGTGTGAGCAAGGCCCGTCAACAACAAAATTACTTTTCAGGTTTTGCACTTCCGAGCCCCGAAGCTGTCTTCAGTCTTCGTTGGAATTCTGTCTTCCTGCAGCCTGAGAGGAGATTAGTTTATTACCAGCCTGCCAGGAGAGGTGAAATCCGGCACTAATCCTAATTCCCATTTAAGCAAATCTGCATTGTGTGAGGGAAACCAGCTGGGCTCGGAATGTCTTCCCCTCTCCCCTGAGATCTCCTCCCAGCCCTCTCCTCTCCGTGGGGGAGGGAAGTAACTACAGATGTTAGACCCAGAGCCCTCCAGGAGGGGAAAAGAATCCTAGGGTTTAGGGCCAAGATGGCAATGTGGGGGCTGGGGGCGGGGGACGGCTGGTGACAAGAGACAGCATCGAAAGGTGGCCGGCAGGGTGATGGCGGCTGCGGTTGACCAGGTTGTCTCTTGCCTTGGACTTGCTCTTGGTTTTATCCAAAAATTCCCCACCCACCCCCTCCAGCTGCAGGTTTAAAGTGAAACAGGTTGGAATCCTGTTGTTGTTCAGTCGCTCAGTTGCTCTTTGCAGCCCCATGGACTGCAGCACACCAGGCTTGCCTGTCCTTCACCATCTCCCAAAGCTTGCTCAAATTCATGTCCATTGAGTCAGTGATGCCATCCAGCCATCTTGTCCTCTGTCGCCCCTTTCTCCTCCTGCCTTCTGTCTTTCCCAGCATCAGGGTCTTTTCCAATAAGTTGGCTCTTCACATCAGGTGGCTAAATTATTGGAGCTTCAGCTGCAGCATCACTGACTAAAGCCTTTGACTATGTAGATCACAACAAACTGCAGAATCCTGAGTCCACCTCTGACTAGCTCTGTGACCTTGAGCAAATGAACTTCCTGCTCCACACCTCAGCTCCTCGTCTGGGAAACAGGGTTAACAACAGCCGATGACCCGAACAATGTGAGGATGACATGACGAATGTACACACAGGACTCAGCTAAGAGCCTGGCACATGATACCCTGTTTCTTGAATGTAAGACTCCATGGGTTATAATTGCAGCATTATTTTATGGGTTTCTGATAAAGAGAAAACAGTGCCTGTTAAGCTATTTGATTATGACATCACTTTTTGTATGATGTACCCCCATTTCAGAGACCTTAAAATATTTTTTTAACAAGGGTGCCTTCAGTTCAGTTCAGTCACTCAGTTGTGCCCAACTCTTTGCAACCCCATGGACTGCAGCACACCAGACCTCCCTGTCCATCAACAACTCCCGGAGTTTACTCAAACTCGTGACCATCGAGTCGGTGATGCCATCCAACCATCTGTCGTCCCCTTCTCCTCCTGCCTTCAATCTTTCCCAGCANCATTCTAGGAATCAGCAAACTAAAATGGACTGGAATGGGTGAATTTAACTCAGATGACCATTATATCTACTACTGTGGGCAAGAATCCCTTAGAAGAAATGGAGTAGCCATCATAGTCAACAAAAGAGTCCAAAATGCAGTACTTGGATGCAATCTCAAAAAGGACAGAATGATCTCTGTTCATTTTCAAGGCAAGCCATCCAATATCACAGTAATCCAAGTCTATGCCCCAACAAGTAATGCTAAAGAAGCTGAAATTGAATGGTTCTATGAAGACCTACAAGATCTTCAAGAACTAACACCCAAAAAAGATGTCTTTTTCATCTAGGGATCTGGAATGCCAAAGTAGGAAGTCAAGAGATACCTGGAGTAGTGGGCAAATTTGGCCTTGGAGTGCAAAATGAAGCAGGGCAAAGGCTAATAGAGTTTTGATAAGAGAACGCACTGGTCATAGCAAACACCCTCTTCCAGCAACACAAGAGAAGACTCTACACATGGACATCACCAGAAGGTCAATACTGAAATCAGATTTATTGTATTCTTTGGAGCCAAAGATGGAGAAGCTCTATACAGTCAGCAAAAACAAGACTAGGAGCTGACTGAGGCTCAGATCATGAACTCCTTATTGCCACATTCAGACTTAAATTGAAGAAAGTAGGGAAAACCACTAGACTATTCAGGTATGATTTAAG